TGTGCACAGTGGATATATATTTTGTGGGTAATTCTGTTGCAGGGTTGTAGTTAGGGATGATAATGTGCAATAAATACTGTTGACAGTTGCAGTCTGTACCTCTGCTGCAAAAGGAGACATGGACCAATGCCACAGGCAATGACGGAAAGTGAAAGGGAAACACTGTGTGTGTGTGTGTGTGTGTGTGTGTGTGCGCATGTGTGTGTGTGTAAGCTCCTAAAGTAGGTCCACATGTCTCTCCCAGTTATGCCTAAATAGCAAAAGGTCAAGGTTCCTGAATCTTAGGCCACGAACCTTGACCTTTTGTTATTGCACATTTCCCTCAGTCTGCCAGATCTTCTGTTCTCTCACACACAGACTCCGATTCTGTATTATCATCATCCATGGTCCAAAAGACAGCCAACCAGCATGTTTTAATATGCGTACATGTATGTACAGATACCGATATACATCCTAAATGTGTTCCGTCACACTCACATACACAAACACACACACACCATTGCATTAGATTCATGTGAGTGCTGGTTAAGGCAAGCACTAAAACATGTATAAGATGAGATTGTGAAAGCACAATGCTGAAGAGCATGCATGATGAATGATGTCAATGTGCATAACTCTGAGCCTGCATTGTCTATAAAATGGATTATTGACATAAGCTTTTTGTTTAGTGGATCATACATGAAAGCACAAAAGTCTGTTAAAATTGTCCTTACGCTCTAAAAGCGTAGTTAAAAGCAATGCTGGGTTTGTTTTAAGCCAGCCATTTAGTAATTTTTAAACAATAGTTGAGTTAAATAAAACTACCCAGAGGTTGGGTTAAACATTTAACTGGGTCAAAACAACCCAGTCGCTGGGATTGTCCATATTTCACCCAGCGCTGGGTTGTATTTAACACACCATTTTTTACATTGATTGTACATTGTACATTGATTTTGAATGGTTAATAAATTTTATATTATAAAACTGTTAGTAAAATAAAATCAAAATGGAAAAAATCTAAATAAAATGACAAGTTAATTTTCATTCCAACAGTTTTAACAACTCTAAAAAACATGAAGGAACTGAGCAGTAAACGGATTAAGAATGTTAAATAGATCTCGTCTATACATAGATAGCATGTGGTTTAATAATTAGTAATGGTGAATTTTTTGAGTACCTTTTTGAAGTTTGCTCATCCAGTTAGAGGAGATAATATCTCTTTCAAAAAGGGCATTTGTCACAAAAAAACTTAATGGTCAGGGTTTTTGTCATATATGACACTATTCGTAAAAAAGCACTTTATGAACTTTATGATTATTTTATCACTGATAATGTAAAAGCTGTGTTGATGCCTGCAATTTTTTTGGGGTCAACTGCAGAAACATACAGAATACATTACATACGCCATATTATACTTAATTAGGGGTTCAAGCACGAAGTGCTGAAACCCTATTGTAATTGTAAGGATTTTTTTTATTATTATTATTATTATTTTTCTCCGCTAAAACTGATCGTGCAGACCAAACCGTGAGGCGTAGAGAGCTGAAATTTGGCCAGAAGGTAGAGCTCCCTGAGGGGACATTCTGACAAAGACGCACCCCAATCGGCCAATAGGGGCATGTTAACAAAATATTTTTCCTTATGTGCTTAAATGCCTTAACTGCTTGAACCCCGGTAATTGCTGCTTGCAGCTATATTGTTTAATTGTTATTGTGCAGTATGTATATACAGTTTGCGTGTGAACGTGTGTAAAGAGAGGGCACTTCTGATGTTTTGGTATGAATCATGGGTTTCTCATTCTGAGTGAGTGCTTGTCAGTGTTTTTGCTAAACTGTGCATCACCTTCAAGTCTTGAATGTATGATTCGCATGGGAACTAGTTTGTCCTCACCACACTTACTTTCACTGTCAGAGTATTTGTGCAAATGTGTATATGATTATGTGTGTGTATATGTCCCTTATCCACTATAGAAAACATAAGCACCTACGATTATGCCCGTCACGTAAGCTGATTGTAATGTGTGTTGTGTATGTAGTGTGCATACTGGAAGATCCAGCGAAATCTCTTTGCAAGCAGATTTTTCTTACCTGTGCTGATGTATTTCCTCTTGAAATATAAAGGTTGATTAGTAATATTGTAGGCTATGTATTTATGTATGTATGTATGTATTTATTTATTTTTCATTTTAGTATTTATTTTTCGTTTTACCTACAAATATTTTTATAGCCAATTGCCTTTCATTTACCTCACAGGCACAAACCATAATTTGTTAATTGCAATGGCATTAGGTGGAGGGACAATCTCATTCTAGAAAACATTTGATTAGACCAACATTTTAGTGCAGAATCAGTCATCAATATTTTTTGGATTCCGTTCTCACTAAAGGTTATATCTGCAAAAGATTAATTTGATCAACTTTTAGAAGAATACTAGCTATAGATTAGCCTCAGAACTAACAGACATGGACTACAAACAAAATGTACTTGTTTCTTGTCATAAATCTAATAACGTCAAGTGAAGCTATGCTTAAAACAGATTTAACCATCTTACGGAAACATTTCACACAAATGTATAGCTACTCTTTTCTCTCTTTTTCCATCTTGGTTTCTTTATTCATTTATTTATATATACAGTCCTCTAATCTCTCTTTATCACACGTTCTCACACATTCTCTGGCATTGAATTAGTGAGTTCATTGCTATGTAAAGGAGACCAGTGGGGTTTAACCTACTTAGTACGCCTTTTAATAATGTATGAGTGAGATTTGAGAGCCGTGTGCAGCACAATAAGGTATCTTCACTTGCTCTTTTTCGGCTTTGATCTCTCCCTCTTGCTGCCTCCTTTTTCTACTTTTTCTCTCGGTTTCTCATTCCCGCATTGAGCGGTACCCCCATGATGCCCTGCATGCCTTCAGGGAGATTCATAATCCATATTCCATATGGGAGGATATTTGAATTAGATTTATTTGTGCAGTATTTCTATATCTGTTGTGTAGTCTGGAGAATGGATGGGTAGAGTCGAGCAGAAAGACGCGAGATAGGGTAATACAAATGGACTTGGAAGGTAAGGACCGATAGACGCTGGGATGGTGAAGAAGCAGACGTACTGATTACAGATAGACAGATTTCTTGCTCATCACTGGTTCTTCAGACAGTGTTTTTCCTCCTCCACCTCACAGTTCGTGCTCTCACATTTCCAGGTTATGCCCAGATAGATAGTGTTAATGAGGGATTCTGACAGACGGTCTGTGTGAAAATCCTGCTCTGTGTTCCTGAGGGATCTCCGCCGTTAACAAGCTCACTGGGGAAGACCTTGGCAGCATTTTCCCACGCTGTCAAGCCGAGTTCAGTGTTCAAGAACGGGCCCTGAGTGTTAAAATTGCAGTCTTTGCCTCTTTCTTTCTCTAATTTCTCAGTTTATGTGCACTCTGTCTGAGGTATGGTGTCAAACTGGATGTATTGTGATGTTCCAGATGTCTGTCAGCAAAACTTTAAGAATGGAGAATACATTCCTATGGTTAGTAAGACCAGAGTTCAGCGATCATTATATCTAATCTGAGTGCGGTCTGTTACGTATCACACTGTATAACATGGGTTATTGGTTTTTCAATGGCCAGTACTAATAACGATATTTAGAAGGGTGGCCATTGAGTAGTCAGATTTTTTTTTGGTTGAGATTTCTTTCTGTGGAGATTTAGGGGAAATTCTGTGGAACATGATATTGTGTTGAACAGAGCTGAGGTGGTACTGATCATTCAACATTATGAATAATGGCCATTAGAACTGGTCCTTTGCAAAAGCTCCACCCTCTTGTTGCTAACTCTGACAAGCTTTATAGAAAATCCCATAGAAATGAACTGAAGGTTTCCAAACCTTTTCAGTAAACTGTGCTCATGATGTGTTAAAATAGTTACAATTCTTATGTGGGTTTAATGAATTAACATTGAAAATATATATATTTTCTTTTTTTTAAAGAATGGTGAAATTAGTGACATGGTTAGTGACAAGCAAATGCTTCTAACAGTCAACTGAAAAGTGAATAACCTCTTGTGAAAGCAGTTAGAAGTGATAGCAGAAGTGTAAGTCAACACAACTAATGTTACTACAATACGTTCTCTACTGGTAATGTGGACTCTTTAGTTACTATTGACACTAACATGACATGAATCAATATGTAAATTGTTAATTTAGTAACTGTAATTTACGTACTGTTGGAGCAACCGTCACACTGCACACTACCGTGCAAATGTCTGTGGTTAGTAAGATTTTTTTTTTTTTTTTTAAGAAATTAATCAAAAAATTTTTAAATCAAGGACACGTTAAATTGATCAAATTTAACAGTAACGACATTTGTAATGTTGCAAAATGTAATTTCTGATGAATTGCTATTTTGAACTTTAGATTTATCAAAGAAAAAATTAAATCACAATTGCTACAAAAATATTAAGCAGCGCTATTTTCTGTTTTCAACATTGATGGTAAATGTTTCTTGAGCACCAAATCAGCATATCAGAATGATTTTTGAAGGATCATGTGACACTGAAGACTGGAATAATGGCAGCTTTTAAAATGATATTTGAAAGTATAATAATATTTAACATTCAAATAGAAAACAATTCTTTTTATTACAGTTTTTACAACATTCCTGATCAAATAGCAGCTTTGTTGAGCATTAAAAAATTTGTTGACTTTAAAAAAAAAACGTTTGATTGGTATAGGAATGAAGACTGACACATAATTGAATCCACAGCATGTACTTATCAGGAATTATTTAAAGATTTGGAAAAGAATGTATGATATAATGACAGCAAAATAAAATTAAATGAAAAATTGTACTCTGTTGAAAATATTGGTAAACAGCAAAAGTGCATTATCCATTGACTAGACACTGTTTTTTGGGCCGATTATATATTTGTCACAACTCTATAAAGTAGGATTTGAAATGCATGTACGCAAACACATCTGACAACTAAAAAATGTCCTCGTCTCTGTTCCTTTCCACTCTTTTTCTGTCTTTCCTAGGCCACTGTGTTGGACTGACTCGTTTGGACAGGTTTGACCCGAGAGCAGTTTGTCACCCCCGGAGCACTGTTTCTCATTTCCTCTTGTGTCATATCGCCCTAGTCCGTCCTGCTGAAACCGGGTGGATTTGAGTGCGATCTGGCTCTTGTGAAGAGTAACAACCCCGTCAAACAGTGCTGGAATATACTCAACACACTTTTATTCCAAGAGAACTTTGGGATTGTATCCAGAAAGTTACATAACACCAAAACAAAGAGCGCTACACCTGTGAGCCGTACACTTTGATCGAATGGCTTCATAATCACTCACACGCACCCTGGATCACCAATCATTAACCTGTTTCTGTCTTACAGCCACAATAGCAAGCGCTCGCACAGACAATCGCAGACAAAGCTCTCCTAGTTGGATTACCAAAAGTAGCTCATGATGGGAAAGTAGACATCCGGCAACACGGATAACCTGCACAGAGGTCTGGGACTCAGTGTTGTATCTGAGCGTGCCATGTCTGGAAACGGCAACCCCTGCCCCAGCCCCGGAGGTCTGGGCACCCATTTAGGGGGCTTCCCTATGATGCACTACCCTTACTTCTTTCCTCATATGCTAGGAGGGCTCTCCCCTCCAGCGCTTCCAGGACTTCCTGTCAGTGGATACAGCACTCCATCTCCTGCAAGTGAGTACCCTTTTTTTCTGCTATCAGCCAATGCATTCAGGTGTGACACACTTAAAGACATTTACATTTACATTTATTCATTTGGCAGACGCTTTTATCCGAAGCAACTTACAGTTGTGAAATACAACAAGTGATGTATCATAAGATGGCAATAAACATGAGAATTGCCCGTTATACAAGGTTTCAGTCATCGTTCAAAATAGTAAAAAGCTAGGACTAGAGGATAATAAAAAAACAGAAAATGTGAAGGCATAGCATTTTTTGTTTTTTTATTATTATTGTTATTGGAGGCAGATAGATGCTCATGAAAGAGATGAGTTTTCAGTTGTTTCTTGAAGATTGTGAGGGATTAGGCTGTTCGGATGGAGTTAGGTTTACCGACCGCAGGCTTCTGGAGGGGATGTAGATGCATAGAAGAGAGCGGAGGTAAGGTGCGGAGCCTGTGCAGTTCTGCAGGCAAGCAAGTTCTGTAGCAAGTCTTGAACTTGATGCGAGCCGCGACTGGAAGCCAGTGCAGAGAGATGAGAAGCGGTGTGACATGGGCTCTCTTGGCCTTATTGAAAACAAGACGTGCTGCTGCATTCTGAATCATTTGCAGAGGTCTGATTGCACACATTGGAAGTCCAGCCAGAAGAGCATTGCAATAGTCCAACCTAGAAATGACAAGCGCCTGGACGAGAAGCTGTGTGGCATGCTCTGCTAGGAAGGGTCTGATAAAGAATGGTGCATGGTGTATTGTGAAAAGTACAAGATGTACGTACTAAATAAACTCCTGTTACCTGATGTTTATCATACAAGGCGGCACAGCACATTTAAACCTAAAAGAAACAGTTCACCCAAAAATTTTAATGATGTCATTTAAAAAAAATATATAGTTTATTTTCTCCATACTGTAGTTCATAGAATGGAGGCCAGTTTCTGCCTCAGCTACTCTACAGGGTAATTTTATATTTCAAAATGTGACTACTACTATCACAATTGTGACTTTTTTTATTTAAAACAATATCTCACAGTTGCAGTTATCTTTTTTTTTTACTATTTTATGCCACAGTGACCAGGAACTAACAAGATTTGAGAGTCAGTGAGATTTTTAAAAATCTTTTTGAAAGAAGTCTTTTATGCTCACCAAGGCTGAATTTTATTTGATGTATTTTTTATTTTAATATATTTCGAAATGTATCTTATTTCTGTGACGTCGAAGTTGAATTTTCAGCAGCCATTGCTCCAGTCTTCAGTGTCACATGATCCTTCAGAAATCTTTATAATATGCTGATTCGATGCTGATTATCAATGTTGAAAACAGTTTTGCTGCTTAATATTTTTGTGGAAACGGTGATATTTTTTCAGGATTCTTTGATGAATAGATGATTACACTCCTATCAAATGAAATCTTCTGTATGATGACAGAATTTTATTTTTGGGTGAACTGTCTCTTTAAGATTGAGTTTTATCTAAAAACCAGAGGGTTAGTAGTAGCTGTGATTGGTCTTTTACATATGTGCTCGCTACAGTTTAATTTAGGGATGTAAATCTGTTCTTGACAATATGGTGTCTGCTGTTTTTGTGTGTACTTTACAAATCACCCACTGATCATATTAAGCCTTAGGAGACCCTTGATTAAATACTGTTAAAGTCCAGCTTTAATTTTTAAACAACCACTATGGGACCATTTTTAAAAACCTGTTGTTGGAGATATAGTCTAGCTTTCATAACTTTGGAAACTTTGGAACTTTGAAAATCTATTTCAGCATAGCTTGTGTGTGCATAAATGTATGAAATACGGTTTAAATCTATATGTTAGAGTGACTGACTATTTAAAATCCCTCTGAAGTTTTGGTTCATTGGTGCTTGTGATCTGACAGATGTTTTTATGCTCAACTTTATGCTCTTCTCTGCTAACATACATTGAATTTGATTATTGCCCAAACACATTATCCTGCTGTTCCATAAGACCTTGATGTGTCAGATCTCATTGGTTTATTCAGGATATCTCTGCTATCTGTTGTTTGGCCTGTTCTGCACTTTGAGGTGCAAAAACCACCGGAATGTTCCTGGGCAAAACTGAGATGCCATGCTGCCCACAGTGCCTGGGGTTATGAACGCCCTTATGTGAACTAGACCTGTATGTGTTTGCTCGGGTCTGTTTGTGCATGCAATATTTGCATGCGAGCACTTGATGATTACTGAATGAAACATGAAAAAGCATGGTTTCTTCATTGCTTCTTAGCAATAGTAGAGCTGTGCAATATATCATTGCTCTATTATTCATTTCTTGACAATATTTGAGATATATTTTGATATTTATGTCAAGTTTAAGTAAGCCATTCATATGTCATTTCCACAGAAAAAATGTAAATTGCTGCACTTTCAAAACATCAGTTTGTTTGCGTATGCCAACCAGCCCAAATTCACACTGTCTCAACCAATAGTGTGAATTTGGGGGCAGGACTACATTTTTAAGTACAGTAGACAAGACATGCCAAAACTTGAATGAGAACAGCCAATTGGAGTAATGACGCAAATCACAGAATTAAAATGACAGTTTGAACTGATTCACAGAAAATAACCAAACTCTTACTCTATTTTTGCTACTACTATTAAAGAAAACAGCCATTTTGAGTAATGGCACAAATCACTGAATGAAACGTTTTAATTGATTCATTTTAAGAATGACCGTTTGAAATGATTCAAACACGTAAATAAACCAAACCCTTATGCCATTTTTGCTACTGATGTTTAAATCGGAGATGCTATTGAAATACTGTTGTAAGACAAGTTTGTATCGCAAAACTTGGAGAATTTAGTGGCCAAATAAAATGTGCATTTAAATCATCAGTTTACAATGCTGCTTATTTTATTTCATGCAAAATCATCAAACTTGCAGCATAGATATTAATATATTGGCAAGCAAGACCATAATGAGTAAATTATACAGCAGGACGATTTCTAGTCCTATCTTCAGTCGTAGCTTTCCAATCAACCCTGGCGAGAGGAAGAGTTGTCGTGTTGTTCTGTGATCTGTGGAGACATTCCCGTCCACTTTGCACACTTGAAATGACAGTACATAATGTTTTGACTCGGTGGGTGGGAGTGCATCTACTGATGTCGGCAGGGAGGCTTTGGCAGTCAGTTAGCGGCAGCTCCCTTCTGGGCCCGGAGCTACTAATGTGCCTCTCTGCATAGTGCTATATGACAAACAACCCTCTGACGCTCTCGGGGGCTAATTATTACACACCCCCTGCTGACTTGCAGAAAGACTCCGCACGTTTTCAGGCGAGAAAAGGCGTGCAGCAAAAATTTGGTGCCCCATGTGAGAAAAGGGGGTTGGGGGGGTGTTGTTGGAATGTTATTATTTTGCTTCCAGAGGATGATGCAAAAGTTTGCATGGGATGACCTCTGGTAAACTTATTAGTCAGGGAGACACCGTGAAACCCAAATAAGTTTGCTGGTTTGGCTTTGGGGGGTGTATTTGCATGAGGTCCAAATAAGAGAACACGGATCGATAGTGTGCATAGCATTTATTTATCATCTTGCACAAGAGGTGGGATATGGAATATGGATGGATATGGAGGTGCCTGTTATTGTCGAGCTCTCCTAACTTGACTTAAACAGCCACTAGAAGGAATCCCCAAGGTGCTTCTTGTCACTTTCTGTGCTGTAATGATGTGTCAACTGCCAGGCACAGAATTCAAGCAGCTGCAAGGTACGGTGATTAGATTTGGGCTCACGGAAGTTATGCAGAGCTAGCAGACTTCAACCTCCAATTTGGGCATCTTAGTTTAGCATGATATGTGAGTGTTTCAGTGTGGTTTCTAGAAAGGAAGTTGAAAGGTGGACGTCTGTCCTTCTAATAAAGACTGACAGTGAGTCTAAGTCTGATTCTCATGCATGTACAAAGTTTATTAGTCTCGGCACTGCAGTTATGAATTGCTCAGCTCTCACGAGAGGCTTTGTACACTAAAAAAAGCAAGTGACCAGATTTCACAAAGTGTGAGTGAATTATGACTTGAATGACTCAGCCCTTTTTGAACACTTCTGGGGTCTGCTAGACTCAATTGGTTTCCGTTAGTGTCTGGCCTGGAAAATGTATTTTTTTGCAATTCAGCATACTGCACTGCCAAAACTGTGCTTCCAAAATGCACATGACACTTCCAGAAGTGTCATGCAGTGTGAAGTTGCTGTACTTCATCTAAAAGCTAACAAAATCGTTCTAATTTATGTATTAGTAATAGTTTAGATGGCCTGCAACGTGCAATATTTGTACAATTGTGTATGTGTAAATGTAATATTAGCTAATTTATTTGTCACCTATGTAACAAATCTAGAGGTCTGTTTAGTTGTGGGTAGTTGACAATTGTATGTATGTATTTGTTTGTTTGTTTTATGAATAACATTTGTTATATATTTGTAAATAACCATTTTTTTTGTTATTTATAAATAACAAATTAACATTTACTTATAAAAACACATTTGTTATTTATAAATAAAACATTTATTCTTATTTATAAATAACTTTTAAATAATTGACCAATTAATTTTTCTAAATAACTATTTATTTGTTTATACATAATTACCATCTATGTTATTTCATAAAGCCAGTTAATAAATAAATAAATGTGTTATTTGTCATGGTTCAAATTTGAATCACTCCTTTGCTACCTTTCAGTTCAACTGATTTGAGAGACTTCTTCAAGGAGCGGGGTATCTAATGATGTTGCTAATCTCCACATCTTCTACTATTTAGGGTCTTTTTTTGGGGTTTGTTTTGTTTTGTTTTTTGCATGCTCTTGTCTTGGTGCAGTCATCACAGCTATGTGTCAGTTAATGCAACTGACCTCACTCTAACTGACTGCAATTAAGATACTGATACATGTAGATGTCAGTAAGTTACACTCGATGTTAAGATATGTCTGCTAGTCTCTACTGTCACACTGTGTGTGTGTGTGTGTGCTCAGCTTCTCAGTTTCCAGCAGTGGTAGCGGGGCTTGTGCAGGTTAATG